TGTGAAATAAATGCTTTTTGAAATAGTTTTTCTTATTGGGGAACAATCCTAACAATGTATGTTTTAAATCATATTCCCCTCTTATGCTGTAAACAGACAGAATTTCTCTTGTCTTGTCTGGAATTTCAGCGACTCATATCATTAGTGGTGTTCCTCAGGGCTGAACCCTGGCCCCACTGTGATTCACCCAGAATATCACATCTTTCCGGTCTTTTTGCAAATTTATTTGTATAGCACAATTCAGTGCAAAGACAATGCAAAGAGCTTTACATGATTAAAATATAGGAGAATAAAACAAAATCAAAGCAAGTAGGAAAAAAATAAAATAAAAAAGTTGAACTAATGATGTTTCAGTTGAACTGTTTAACTAGAACAGTCGAAGGCAATCCTAAACAAATGTGTTTTTAGTCTTGATAAATATTGGTTTGAGGCTATTCTACAGAAAGAAAACGATGCTAACACCAGAACCCAAACCACCTGACCTCTGATATCTACTGTATGTTATTTAGGATTTATCATTAAAACATTACACTCTGCATGTAAATTCCCAATAACATGAAACAGAAGGTTATACCAGCTATCTTGTCGTAGTCTGGAGCCTGTGAGTCGGAGCTGCTGTTTTCCTCCATCTCCTGCCTTCTTTGTCTCACGGCTACATCCAAGTCAACGAAATCACTCTGCAGGAAAGATTAATCACACAGCTAACGATTCTATCCTCTGCATGTTAAATCAGAGTATTTTTAACCTGTAAAGCAATACGATCTTTGTCATTTCCTGCACGTCTTCCTCTTATCTCTCCTCGCCACTTTTCTTCTCAAGCTATTGATAAATAAAATGCCAATAGTGTCGCAAAATATCAAATTATTTCAGTTATTTGTTTTGTCAGTTAATGTTTGACTGCTTCAATCTTCCTGCATTAAAGGAAAAGTCCGGTCATCAAGGAATAATAAAGGGATGATTATTTATACGTAAAACTAATACGTTTGTGGTGATTTAATGAATTTAGCGTTAATCAGTAAAAAATTAAAACAAAAAATTTCGTCGCGATCACTGAGTCTGG